TCAACTGCCCCAAGCATGTAATTACCATTATGACAATTACTAGGGACTCCTCTTAAGAGAATATGTGTAGAGTGGTTTTAAAAAATGGTGTGTACACAAGGTTTTCTAACTTGAAAACAAAATCCTTGACCCAACAAGGAATAGCAGTTTGGTTTTAATGCTTTTGATCCCTTTACTCATTTTTTTTTTTTTTTAGCTTTGAGTTTATTGGTACATTTTAGAGATACAGTAGAGTTACATTCATTGTTGGGATCTTGTACCTCTACATGACAGGTCTTGGTTCTCATTTTTTCCCCTTGTCCCTGCCCTCCCTTCACCCCCTCCTCCCCTCCCCATCTACAAGCACTTTATTTCCATCTTTTCTTTACCTTTACTCATTGTTGCCACATCACCCCTTGTCCGCCCTCCCTTCACCCCCTCCTCCCCTCCCCATCTACAAGCACTTTATTTCCATCTTTTCTTTACCTTTACTCATTGTTGCCACATCAGGAATAGAGTATGGAGCCTCCCTGGGAACGGGACCATAGGGACTCCCCCATTTATTCTTGCCACAGAATCATTTTCCTTTGGGATCTATGAGCAAATGAGGTCATGACACCATGCTTACCTTACAGGACAACCTGATTCTCTGTACTCTTGCCTTGATGCCAAACATATGTGTCTTAAAGTGAAGAGAATATCACCAGATTTCTCCATGTGGAGCCAAGCACACTGAGGACTCACTAACAAAATGCCAATGACATACAACTTGAGCCTAAGTTAACAGATGTTCTCTCTCAGGCTAATAAAAAAATCCCATCTCTGCAGTTTTAGATGTCTTTGGAGTTGAAGACCTACCAGCCTTATTCTTTTATACCACCAGGAGTTCAGAATGGGATCTTTGATATAGATGATCTCATTTAATTTGGATATTTAGCATTGGCTCGGAGTCTCTGAGGAAATTTCTTCATTCATAAAGCTAGAGGTTGGGATAAATTACCTTTCTTTGAAGAGTCCCTAACCCAGTTGAATAAAAAATGTGTTTTATTGGCTATCAAATGAAATTTGCTTTTAAAATAAAAACTTAAACCATTCATTCCTGAAGACCAAACCATAAAGGGGTTTTGATGCACTAGAACAGGAATGAAAATGCTTGAAGGGCAATAAGATGATTTCCACAAAGCATGCTCCATTTTTAACTATAGATAGTTTTAAGAGGATTCTTTGCTCATCTATGAACCCCAGAAAGACTTGCCAGAAAGACTTGTTCAAGCAAATCTACTTTCTTGCATATATCTTGCAATATCTTGCATAAATATTAATCACAAACTATACTTCTATCTAGTTATGAATACTAAATTCCAGGCAGATGCCTTTTGAGCACCAATGTATAGCAGGAATAATTTAACCTGACATTTTACCACTCATATCTCTGTACTAGTACTGGGGCATGAGATGAACTGAGAGTCACAATGATGACCCTCAGGCGCCATCTAATCCTGTCCTGGTTGTGAAACCATTAGTGATGGTTGGAATAACAAGCCTCTGCTACTAGGTGGTTTTCATTTAAACAAGCCATGTACTTAGATACCCAATCTTTGCATATATAAGGCTGGACCCTGGTCACTCTGCTTAGAAGCATGAGATATCAGTCGTTACCAACCCACAGGCAAAATGGTGAGTGATAGATAATGCTGCAATTGCTAGCATGCTCATGATAATTATTAGAAAATAGGTTACTCACTGAGGTAAATTTTCTGTTTTTGTTTTTTTAATCATTATTAAATTTATTGGTACATCTTAGGTATACAATACAGTTATATTCATCATTGGAAACTTGTACCTATACATGACTTATCAGGGTCATATTTTTCCCCTTTCCTCAGCCCTCTCCATAGCCCCTCCATTGATTGTTTCCATGTTTTCACTTTTTACATATTTTTTCTTTTCCCTTTTTACCTTTCCCCTAGCCCTCCCACTTCCTCTACTCTTTTAAACTTTTCTTCCTATTACAATATCACATATATTTTAATCCTTATTTACACTTTTACTTTTTCACACAGAGAAAAGGTAAATTTTCTGTATTATTAAATGGATCTTTTGTCAAGGAGCTTGCCTTCTCACACATACTTCTCAAAAGAGGGGAAGAAATTTTGCCGCAGGCTTCAAAGTATTGACAGGTAGTTTCATGCTTCTTTTTGAGGGGGAGGGAGCTGAGATTAATTTTAAGCTTGTGATTCAATAGCACTTTCAGAGTTTGAGAGCATTACCAGATTCAAAATGGCAACTTTTCCAGAGATTTGGCACTTGATCAAGAAAGCTTGGTGAAAATTGGATGGCAGTTTCCAGAGGAATTTTGGGGTCAACATCACTATAAGGGTCATTATCTTTGGGAAATTACTTATCTGAAGATAAGGACAAATTAAAAAAAGAATGGAAACCAGTAATACCACCATTAATATCATGACCATTCAACAGATATCAATTTATAGTGAGAATTATGTTTTAAAAAGCAGGGGCTCTTTCATTGGTATAGGAAAAGACTTTATGAACAAATCCTCAGTAGCACAGGAACTAGCAGAAAGAATCAACAACTGGGATCTCATCTTACTAAAAAGCTTCTGTACTTCAAAAGAAACCATTAGCAGAACTAAGAGACAATCTACAATGTGGGAAAAAATTTTTACCAGCTGTACCTCAGACAAAGGACTATTATCAAGGATATATAAAGAACTCAAAACAATCAGTCCCCTCAAATATAAAGACCCGATTCAAAAATGGGCATCCGAAATGAACAGACATTTCTCAGACAAAGAAGTAAAAGCAGCAAG